GGTGGGACTGCGGGTGCTGCTGGGGCTACTGGAGTTGGTCCTGCTGGAGCTACTGGCGGTACTGGAGCTACCGGTCCTGATGGAGTTGGTGCTGCTGGAGCTGCTAGAGCTGGAGCTGCTGGGGGTGTTGGCACTGGTGTTGCTGCTGGTGCTGGTGCGTCTGGGGGTGCTGGAGTTGGTGCGGTTGGAGCTGGAGGTGCTGCTGGCACTGGTGCTGCCGCTGGGGGTACTGGTGCTGTCCCTGCTGGTTCTGGAGGCGCTCCGCGGCCGCAGCCGTACTTCGTTCCGCTCCTTGAGCAGGTTCTTGGTCTCCCGCCCTCTACTAGTCCTGCTCCTCCCTTAGAGTGTCCACAGCCTGTCTAGTCGCAGTCACAGTTACAGCCCGCCTCCCCCCTACCTGCTCCTTCTCCCTACACTGGTCCTACTGGAGGTCTTACAGAGCGTCGTGAGCCTGCGTCTCGTCCTGTGTCGCCTGTTCGTGCTGCTCGCACTAGTCGTCGTGTTCTGCATCCGCGTCCTCCTACGGTCCCAGCCACACACCAGATGGCGCTGCGTCCTTCCACTGCTCCTCTGCGTGTCCCGTTGCCGTCTCCTCCAGAGTCTTCTCTTCCTCTTCTTGCTGACTCTGAGTCTCACTCTCTTCGTGCTGCCAGTCCTACTGTCACGCGTCTCCTGGCCACTGTTGTCACTGACCCTTCCTTTGAGTCCACTGCTGCGTCTGCCCTAGTTGCTGAGCTTGTCGACTTCGCGGCTCGCTGTCGTCTAGACTATGTTGCTAGTCTTGTTGCTGAGTCTGAGTCTGTCTGTCCTCCGTCCGTCGGGGGTGAGTGTGCTCTTAGCACGGACGTCCTTGAGAACAGGCAGGAGGAGTTCCAGTGCTTTGCTGCTGCTTTGCCCCATCTCGTGTCCACGCTGATTGCCCCTGAGGGAGACCCGGATGCATCAGACATCCCGACTCCTTGATCGTACGCTGAGGCGATCGAGGGTCCCTACTCCTCACAGTGGCAGTCGGCCATGGACGCAGAGATGGCTTCCTAGAAGTCCACAGGCACCTACGTCAACGAGGTTCCCTCACATGGGGCGAACATCGTCAGTGGCATGTGGCTTTTCAGGGTGAAGCGGCCGCCGAGTTCTTCGCCTGTCTTCAAGGCGCGTTACGTGGCTCGAGGCTTTAGTCAGCGTTAGGGAGTTGACTACTTTCATACCTTCTCTCCCACCCCGAAGATGACCACTCTTCGGGTGCTGCTGCACATAGCCACTCAGCGCGACTACGAGCTTCACTCTCTTGACTTCAGCACGGCTTTCCTGCAGGGCAGCGTGCATGAGGAGATCTGGCTGCGCCGCCCACCTGGCTTCACTGGGTCGTTTCCTCCTGGTACCCAGTGGAGCCTCCGGCGGCCAGTCTACGGTCTCCGCCAGGCGCCCCATGAGTGGCACGTCACACTGAGGACTACACATTTCAGGCTCTTGGGTTTACTCCTTCTACAGCCGACCCGTTGCTGTTTCTGCGCACCAACACCTCTTTGCCGCCGTTCTACATCCTCGTGTATGTCGACGTCTTGGTCTTTGCCACTGCTGACACTGCTGGACTCGCCCACGTGAAGTCCGAGCTGCAGAAGAGACACACGTGCACAGACCTGGGTGAACTGCGTAGCTACCTTGGCTTGCAAATCACCCGGGATAGAGCACAGTGCACCATTACCCTGACTCAGTCACACATGGTGCAGCAGGTCCTTCAGCGCTTCGGCTTCACGTACTCCTCGCCTCAGGCCACTCCTCTGTCTACTCGCCACTTGCTCTCAGCTCTGCCTTCGGATGAGTCCGTAGAGCCGAGTGGCCCGTACCTAGAGCTTGTTGGCTGCCTCATGTACCTGATGACCTGCACACGACCTGACCTTGCATACCCTCTTAGCATCTTTGCACGCTATGTTGCTCCTAGCAGACACAGGCCAGAGCACATGGCTGCAGCGAAGAGGGTGTTATGCTACTTGTGCAGTACGTCGGGCATGGGGCTAGTGCTTGGAGGGCGACGTTGAGTGGTCCTCACATGTCACGCTGACGCTTCTTGGGCTGACAACCAGGCTCTGCAGCGGTCGTCACAGGGTTACACCTTCAGCCTTGGCTCCGGCTCTATTTCGGGGCGGTCTACCCGCTCGTCTTCTGTTCTCAGCTCCAGCTGTGAGGCTGAGATCTATGCGGGGGCCATGGCTGCACAGGAGCTACGCTAGCTCACCTACCTGCTAACTGACCTAGGAGAGTCGCCTCGTTCTCCTACAGTTCTGTACGTAGACAACAAGGCCATGCTGGCCTTGTGTCGGGAGCACAGACTGGAGCACAGAACGAAGCGCATTGCTCTTCGCTACTTCCTTGCTCGTGCGCTGCAGCAGCGTGGTCAGCTGCGCCTTGCTTACGTGGCCTCTGAGGCCAACACTGCTGATATTTTTACCAAGGCACTTCCGCTTTATGATCATCAGCGCTTCTGTACGATGCTAGGTCTTGTGCCTACTTGGCCTCACTTGCTCACTTCTTGACCTTGCTTGTAGTGTGATCTTGCTATACATGCACTTGCTTGTTTACCTTTATATATGATCTTGCATGTGAACTGGCCTTTTGGCTTTGCTCTTGTGCTCGGATTGTGTGGTGACGTTGTGATCCACCCTGAGCTTGCTTTGCTTTGCTTGACTGGTCTTATGACCTCTTGTTCTCCCCCACTTTGCCTATGGGGGTGTGTCAAACTTTTATGCTATGGTCTATCTAGGCTGTAGTGGGGTAGATACTATAGGGTACAACATTTCTAGGTTTCCTACTTGTACCCACATTTCCCTTAGTCGTTTCATTCCCCAATTCTCACATAGTAGATGCAATTATCTACGTGGAGTAGGCGCACTCATACGGCGAAGGGGATTCGCGCAATTGCCAGCTGCGGAAATCCCTTTACGAGATTAAACAGGCGCCGAGGCTCTGGCAGCAGTACCTGCACAACATCCTGCTTGAAATTGGGTTCAAGCAGCTGCCTCACGACCCAGGGATGTACCGTTGCGACCTCCGCGGCGAATACATCTTGCTCACGGTCTACGTCGACGACCTCCTTATCACAGGGTCAAGCGCCGAGCTACTTGAGCAGTTCGAGAAAAACCTTGCGGTGCGCGTCGACATCACCTGCAACGACAACATGAAGCAGTTCCTCGGCCTCAACATCACTTACTCGCTAGAAGCTATCCATCTCTCAGTGGCCAAATATGCAGAAGAAATTGGCAAGCGCTTCAACATCGCACCTGCACCGCTCTCCACCCCTTACCGCACTCCATGACCCAAACACAAGCCTGATAACAAAGCCCTATCCCCAGATGGGCTTTAGACTTATCAGCAACACATGGGCTGCCTACTTTTTGCCTCTGTTACCTGCAGGCCAGATCTCTCGGACACCGCAAGTCAGCTGGCCTAGTATTCTGTCAGAGGTCCACTGGTGATCCTCGATTGATCCTAGGGAAGGGTTACAGGCACGTTGGCCTGGGGGGTTATGGGCGCACTGACCTGCTACTTAAAAAGCCCTTTTATCCCAATGGTCTAGTGATTGGGATTCTGACATGGTATCAGAGCGAAGGTCTCGGGTTCGAATCCGAGTGTATGCACTTCGGTCATCCCAGTTCGGGGGGGTGTCAGAGGTCCACTGGTGATCCCCGATTGATCCTAGGGAATGGTTACAAGCATGTTGGCCTGGGGTGTTATGGGCGCACTGACCCGCTACTTAAAAAACTCTTTTATCCTAATGGTCTAGTGATTGGGATTCTGACATATTCTCGCAAACCAACAACTGAAAATCTCTCAGATCTTCAGCGAGCACTCTAATTCTTCATCTTCACGCCCAATGTTGGGCTCTCCTACTCCACCATCCCAACTGCATCCTTCAACCTCATCGGCTACATGGATGTTGATCATGTCGCCGATCCCGACAATCGCTGGTCCAGGACAGGCCTCCTCTTCGGCCTCGAGCCCAGCGGCCCAATCTCCTGGAATTCGCACAATCAGGAGCTGGTTGCCCTGTCATCAGCAGAAACAGAGTTAATCGCAGCAACAGCAGCTGTTCGCGAAGATCTCTACCTTCATGAGCTGCTGCAGGAGGCGAGGATTCCAGCCTCGCCGAACTTTTGCCTGCACTGCGATAACCAGACCGCGATCACAATCGCGAACAAACCTGGATTCTTCAACTGCACCAAGCACATCGTGATGCGGTACTTTTTCGTCAAGGACGAAGTTGACAAGGGCAAGGTTGACGTAACCTACTGCCCGACGGGTGACATGGCAGCACATTTCCTCACGAAGAAACTGCCGCGTCAGCAGTACAAGCACTGCTCTGAACTCAGCGGAGTAGTCAAGCGAGTCAATACCTGCTACGGCCAGGAGTGAAGGGGGGTGTTACGAATAGTGAAAAATTGAATGAACTACTGTGCACTCCTTACCGCAGCAGTCGAAGCACGTAGTACCGAGGCTGAAGTCGGAAGGGCGGAAGTAACACGAAGGGTCACGCGGTTACGAAAGCATCTGGACCGTCGGGCAGACAGCATTAGGCAGCAACAGTGGAGGGATTCTGCCCGAACAGTTTCGTAACCACCTGGAGTCGCACGGTTGAATTTCGCTGTGATAAGGGAATGTACCCCTTAGAGTACATGGCTAAAGTTGGACGATTGGTATCCTCCTGTATACTTATTTTTATTAATGTATTTGCATGTTTTATCATCTCAAGCATTCTACATTCACTCTACTATTGAGATCAAGGGCCCACCACCACTAGTTAGTCCCGTGCGAACCTTCCCGAGGTGATCCTGAGTCCGATAAACATCTGATCGCAACACCAGTTATAATTGAAACCTATAAATTACGTTGTATTGTCAAGCTTGTTTTGCTCCCTCCATTGTTTATGCTTGTCAACAATATACGTGGCTGTTTAAGGCGAGTGTAGTCATACTCATTGTGAAGCTCGCACTGTGGTTACTTGCACTATGCCACCTGGGCGAATTAAGGTGGTCGTGAGATTTTCCAAGCTGTTGGTGCCATTTTATCAGATGAATTTTGCGTGCATTAAAAGATACAGAGTTCTGTACTCAGTCGCAAATCGAGCGTCCGTCTAAAGGGTTTGTGCGACAAACAAGAATCCTCGTCTCCTCCGCGCTGCCGCATTCTAGACTCTAGATTCTGTAGGTACCGTTTCCGATTCCCGTCACTTACTTCCTGTTTTCCATGTCGAGCTGTTGCTCACTTCTATCGAAGATTCGTGAATTCTGCAGATTCTGGAGGCTAGCAAACGGTGGTAATCAGCAGATGGTTCAAACAGACACTCACGTGAAATTCGTTACACATGTTTCCCCAGAATTAGCATTGTTTCGGTATAGCTAGTCTCGCTATGGCTGATCCCGACGACTCCGTTGACTTTGTTGACTCTCCTAAGAGTTCCAAACCTCCTCGGGAAGTCGCCGCGAGTCAATTCCAGTCTTTCCCGTCGTTTCAGTCAACGCCGGGAGATTTTCCGCCGAGCGTTTCCGCGGCTGGAACTAGCTTGCGACCCCCACTGTTTCCGATCTTCCCGGTCGGTCAGACTCAAAGTAAAGTTTCTGGTATCTCTACATCGTCTCAGGAAGGCGGGTTCGAAAGCGGAGGTGGTTTGAAGTTTAGTAGGACGACGGAGTCCGTTAACGTCCCAGTAAACGTCCCAAATTCTCTGTTTCCGATCTCGGGTACGTTCCCCCAAGAGAGGGCATCGCGGGACGGTCCCGGTACCAGCCTACCAGACTCTGATTGGCTGACAAATCCGTCGTTTTCCGCGAAGCTTCTCCCGGCTGCAGAGGCCGCTCGGCGCGCAGCGGAAGGGCGGAGAGATGGGGTTGAAGGGGATGAGGGGAGTGAGGGGGAAGGTGAGGAGGAGGAAGAGGGCGAGGAGGGAGAGGAGGAAGGAGAGCAAGTGGGGGAAGGTGGGGAAGGAGTGGGAGAAGCAGATGGGAGGAGGAAGAGGAGGGTCAAGGAAAGCGGCGGTATTCCCGAGGGTGGGAGAGGGACGGGGGAACTGGATGACAGTGATTACAGCGAAGGGGACAAGAGGGATGGGGTTCGGGGTGTGAGTGTATCTGAAAGGGAGGATAGTGAGGGTACAAGGAGGAAGAAGAAGAGAAGGGAGGAGAAGGAGAAGGAGCGGAAGGAGAAGGAAAAGGAGAGGAAGGAGAAGCGGGAGAAAAAGTGCAGGCATGAGAAGAAGCGAAGAAAGAAGAGGAAGGGAGGGAAGGGGAGTTCTTCTAGTGACAGTTCCGGGAGTGACAGTAGCGAAAGTGGTGATTCTAGCGAGAGTGAGAACGAGGAGGAGAGGAGGGAGAGGAGGAGGAGGCGCAGGAAGAGAAAGGAAGAGGAGAAGAGGAGGAGGAAGGGGAACAGGGAGGCGGAGAAAGTCCAAAGAATGGTGGCGGGGAGTGAGGGGGGGAGGCACGCAGGAGGGGTGGGCATGGGCATGGGGATGGGAATGGGGATGGGTGGGATGGGCGTGAGAGGAGGGGTGGTAGGAGCTGCCGGTGCAGGAGGGAAAGAGTATGTGATTGATGCTAAGGGCGACCGGGATAACTACGCCTTTGGCTCGCTTTACAGGTGAGTGAGAGAGGTTTACTGGTGGGACCATGCATGGGAGAGTGGGTATGAGAATGAGGATTGGTGGGATGGGGTGAGAGGAAGGGTGATAGGGGCCGGTGGTGCAGGGGGTAGGGAGTATGTGATCTTTGCTAAGGGCGACCGGGACAACTACGCCTTTGGCTCGCTGTACCGGTGAGGAATAGAGTTAAAACGTATAGAGGTGAGAGGCGTGCAGGTGAGAGGTGTGCAGGTGAGAGGTGTGCAGGTGAGAGGTGTGCAGGTGAGAGGTGTGCAGGTGAGAGGTGTGCGATTAGTTTTGAGAATTCTCAAAACTAATCTCAAACAAAGTGAGGGGTGTAAAGGATAGATAGAGCATCAAACGTCTTTTCAGTTCCATGTGGATTCGACATGGAGAGCATGGGGTGACTCGCGTGGGTGGGGTGGGGCCATGGGAACACGCATGAGAGGAAGGGAGGCTTTCCAACCTCTTACCTTCCTGTCTCTCTCCCTGCAAAATTGATTCCTTCCACTCCCCCCGCTCACACACCGCATCTGATGGAATGGAACGTGGCACGCTATGTCGCCCGTCCCACACCCGCCACAGCAGCAGCTTCTTCCTCCGCCTCCCCCTGGGCTCTCGCCTTTGGTGCTGCCCTGCCGGCTCAACCATCCCTGTCCTCCGCGCCCCTGCCTGGCCTTGTCTCTCATGCCTTTGGAGAATCTCCCGGTGTCTCGAAAAAGTCATGAGCCGCCGAAACACAGACGGACAGAGAGAGGTTTTCAACGTCTTACCTTCCTTTCTCTCCCTCCCTCCCCCACCACCCTCCCTCCCCCACCGCCCTCCCTCCCCCACCACCCTCCCCACACAACACATCAGGTTGAATGTCGCGCGCTATATCGCCCATCCCACAGCCGCCACATCGTCTACCCACGCCGCCTCCCCCTGGGCTCTCGCCTTTGGTGCTGCCGGCTCCGCCTCCCCCATCCCTGTCCTCCGCGCCCCTGCCTGGTGTGGCCTCAAGCCTTCCCAGCACACAAAGAGCGCGGGAGGAGGGGGGAGCGGGGCTAGTAGGTTGGAAGGTGCGGATCTAGGGTTTGGGATGCGGAGTTTGATGGAGCCTGAGTGGGATACGGCTATGGGGTCTGTCACTGCTGCTTTTGCTGCACAGGGGGGAGGGGGGGATGGGGGGGGAGCGGGGGAGGGGAAGAGGGGAAAGGGGGGGAGGCCTTCTGGGATTGGAGCTTCGGCGGCCAATCGGTATTGGTCGCCCTGGAATGCCGTTTTCGAACGGAGCAAGGAGGTTCGGAGGGTGCGGTTCGGCAAGGGGCAGGCGCGGGGTGGAGGAGGGATGGAGGAGCAAGAAGAAGCGGAAGGGAGAAGGGGGGATGAAAGCAGTAAAGAGGTTCCTTCTAGTGCTGATGATGCTGCTACTGCAGCTGGTGCTGCTACCCCTGCTGCTGCTGCTGCTGCTTCTCCTGATGCTCCTAGCGCCTCCTTGCCTTACAAAATCGGGAGATTCGCATCGGAAACAGACCCAGGAAATGATGGTGAAGAAGATGAAACGGACGGTTTCCTCCCTCTAGAATCTCCCTTTCCTCCCTTTTCCTCCACCACTGGCGTTCGCAAGCTCACAGCTGCTGCTGCTAGAAAGCAGCAGGGAGAAGGGGGGAGAGGGGGTGGTGAGGAGGGGGTGTTGGGTGTGGGAGGAAAGGAGGAGGAGGGGGAGGAAGAGGGGGAGACGTGGGATGAGTACGTGTTTCGCCGGACAAGAGAGTTTAACGAGGACACGAGGCGCCACCCGCTGGACGAGCAGCTGTGGCTGCGTTTTGTCTCTTTCCAGGACGAGGCGGCGACAGGCGGCGGCGGCGGGCGGCACCGGGCGGCGGTGCTGCGGCAGGTGGTGGAGAAGAAGGTGGCAGTGTTGGAGCGAGCGCTGCAGCACGTGGCAGACAGCGAGGCAGTGGCTCTCACTTATCTTCACACATGCAACGGACGGTGAGTCACTGCCCTGCCCTGCAGCACTGCACCTTATAGTAGCGAGAGCTTGCAAGCTTGACAGTTGGTGACAGGGAAGAAGGTTGCGGTGTTGGAGCGAGCACTGCAGCACGTGGGGGAGAGCGAGGCGGTGGTGTTAATGTTTCTGCACACTTGCAGTGGGCGTTGAGTCTCATTCCCTGCAGCACTGCACCTTGTGGTAACAAATGTTGGCGACGTTGTGTTAGAGGGAACGCAGCAGCACATGGATGGGACAGTGTGGCAGTGGTTCTGATGTATCTGCACAGCACACACGTCCCTCCCCTCTCCTCTCCCTCCCTCCTCCAATCCCCGTTTCCCAGAGATGACGCCGCCACACTAGACGCCAAGTGGCGAAGCGCCATTGGCCGCAGCCCTGGCAGTGCGAACCTCTGGAGGGGCTACATTCGGTGGCAGAAGGGGCAGTTTGCAACATTCACTGTGGGGAAGATGAGGGAAAGTTTGATTGCAGCGATCCGTGCCCTGGTGGGACGCAGGAACCAGGTGTGGCGCGAGGTGAGTGCAAGGGTTCCAGTGTAAGGGGCATCGCACAACTTGGCTTGGCCCTGGAGAGCACTGCAGAACCAACGCATCAAAAGCGGCACAATGCAATCTTGTACCCAACCCAACCCATCTTCTTCCCCACCCAACCCCTGCCTGCCTTCCCCCATCCTTTCTGCTTGAACACTCTACCCTCGTTTCCTTCTTTCCCGTTTTTTCTAATTCTTCCCATTCGCGCAGCTCCAACAGAGGCCCAGCGACCCAATCAAAACACGCCAGCTGGCAGCGTCAGAGGTCGCAGCAGTGGACATGCTGGTGGACTCGTGCCGCTTCGAGCACCAATCAGGGCACGCTGAGCTGGCAGTGGCGCTGCTGCAGGCCGAGACGGAGTACGCCGTCCGGCCGCCGCCCCTGCCCTTGTCCTTTTCTGAGGGTAGCAAGCTGCGGCTGTTTCAGGCGTTTTGGGAGGGTGGAGGGGAGAGAGTGGGGGAGGAAGGGGGGATAGGGTGGTCTGCTTGGTTGGCTAGAGAAGAGGGGTATGGGATGGGGGGAGAGGGAGGGGGACAGGGAGGGGGAGGTCATGGGAATGGTGAGGGGAAGGAGGGTGAAGAGGAGGAAGAGGAGGAGGAAGAGGAGAATGAGGAGGAGGAGGAGAAAGGGGGTTGGACTGGATGGCATGAGATTGTGAGGAAGGGAGAGGGCGGGGGAAAGAAGGTTGTGGGGGAGGGAGAGGAGGAGAAGGAGGGGGAGGAGGGTAAGGGAGAGGAGGCAGAGGAGGGAGAGAAGGGAGAGAAACAAGGGGACAAGGATTCAAATGGAGAGGAGGAGGAGGAAGATGAGGAGGATGAAGAAGAGGAAGAGGAGGATGAGGATGAGGAGGAGGAGGAGGATGAGGGTGTGCTAGAGGCAGAGGTAATGGAACGAATTAAAGCGGGGAAGGACGGGACAGGTGCTGGCGCTGGTGGCGGTGCTGCTGACGTGGCAGGCGAGGATTGGGTGAAGGATCCGGGTGTGTGGCAGCGGTGGGCAGCTGAGGAGAGGAGGAGGGAGAGTAGGCAATGGCAACCAATGCGAGGTAAGGCATTAAGTCATTGTGCAGAAGCAAGTTATGTAGGTGGAATGAGAATGTGAGAAGTTGTGTGTCATGCATGCTTCCCGTTCCCATGCACTCGTTCCTTGTACCCGCAACAGGGAAGGGCACAAGGCAACAGCAAGCACACAAGGACGAGGAAGAGGCAGAGGATGACGAGGAGGCGACTCCTTTCTCTTCCTCACATCCTCATACTGATGAGGAGGAAGCGACTCCTTTCTCTTCCTCACATCCACATACTGATGAGGCGGTGCTGGAATGGGTGGTGGGCGCCATAGTAACGAGGTGACTTTTGAGTCGACTCAAAAGGCGCTGGAACGGGTGGTGGTGGTGGAGTATGAGGATGTGAGGAGCCGACTCCTTTCTCTTCACCCCTTGCTTGCTCGTGCATCACAGAAGGGCAAAAGGCGTGCACAAGAGGAGGCGGAGCTGGAGTGAGTGGCGGAGTCTGAGGATGTGAGGATGTGAGGATGTGAGGAGTGGACTCGTTTGTAACCCGCCCCTCGCCTCCCCTTTCCACGATTACCAGGAAAGGGAAAATGGACGAAGGGGAGGAGGAGGAGGTGGAGAGGGTGGTGCGTATGAGGATGTGAGGAGTCGACTGTTCTCATCCATATTTCCTCTCCCATGCACCCCTTCCCACCACTAGCAGCAGACAAGGGGAAAAGAGATGACGAGCAAGCAGCAGAAGAGGACGAGGAGGAGGAGCTAGAGAGGGTGGTGGAGTATGAGGATGTGAGGAGTCGACTGTTCTCGCTGCACTCTGAAGCAGCGAAGCGACACCTGCTGCTCGCTGCTGCTGCTTTCTTTGATGCGCCGCTGCCTGCTTGGTGAGTGTCTGTAGTGGTGTGGTGGGTGGTGGTGGTGGGTGGTGTGGTGGGTGGTGGTGGTGGGTGGTGGTGAGTGGTGGGTGGCCGTGGTGGTGAGTGGTGGGTGGCCGTGGTGGTGAGTGGTGGGTGGCCGTGGTGGTGAGTGGTGGGTGGCCGTGGTGGTGAGTGGTGGGTGGCCGTGGTGGTGAGTGGTGGGTGGTCGTGGTGGTGAGTGGTGGGTGGCCGTGGTGGTGAGTGGTGGGTGGCCGTAGTGGTGAGTGGTGGGTGGCCGTGGTGGTGAGTGGTGGGTGGCCGTGGTGGTGAGTGGTGGGTGGCCGTGGTGGTGAGTGGTGGGTGGCCGTGGTGGTGAGTGGTGGGTGGCCGTGGTGGGTGGCCGTGGTGGTGAGTGGTGGGTGGCCGTGGTGGTGAGTGGTGGGTGGCCGTGGTGGTGAGTGGTGGGTGGCCGTGGTGGGTGGCCGTGGTGGTGAGTGGTGGGTGGCCGTGGTGGTGAGTGGTGGGTGGCCGTGGTGGTGAGTGGTGGGTGGCCGTGGTGGGTGGCCGTGGTGGTGGCGAAGTGCTGCTACCTGCTGATTCTCTCTCCACTCACCTGCTGCTCGCTGCTGCTGCCTTATTTGATGCGCCTCTGCCTGCCTGGTGAGTGGCTGTAGACCGCACTGGTGGGTGGTGGTGGGGGGTAGGGAGTGGTGGTGAGTGGTGGTTGTTGGGTGGTGAGTGGTGGGTGGTGGTGGCTGAGTGCCTGCTCCTTCTCTTCCCTATCAATTGCTGTGTGCTGTCTGTCGGAGTGAGAATGAAATGTGAGGGACTGAGTGTTTTCGTATGTATCTACCTGTAGGTATTTGTGGATAAGGATATAAGGAGTGAGTGCATGAAGTAGAGAATAAGGAAATACGGATGGCAGCGCTTGTGTTTGATGTTTCGGTATTGTTTCATAAGCAGCACTCTTCCTGCAATAGTTTATTCTCTTCTCTTACATTTTTTTTCTTGGGATGTGTTTATGAACGGATAACACTTGCTGCTTCTTGTCCTCCCAACCAACAGGCGCAGCAGCAACGACAGCAGCTTCCTGGAAGCATCAGAGTCTTTCGTGAGCATGCCATGGTCCATCACAGCCCCCTTTCGTATTCCAACCTCTCATTTTGCTCCTCAGCCTTGTGCTGCTGCCGCTGGTGGCGGGGGTGTCGGTGCTACTGCTGCTGCCTCTGCTGCGTCGGCAGGAGCAGGAGGAACAGAAGCGGCAGCGGCAGCGGGAGCAGAAGTGGCAGGAGCAGAGGTAGGGGAGGAGGAGGAGGAGCAAGGGAACTTGGCTCGTGGTGCTGCTGTGTTGGATGCTCTCGCTGGTGGCCCCATGTGGTTCGATGCATGGGGGGATGAAGGACAAAGGAGGGCAAGGGGACGAGATGGGGATGGCGGCGGGGAAGGGGAGGAGGAAGATGATGGGGGAATGGAGAGGGTGTGGTTTCTGCGCAACTTCCTGGAACTTGCGTGTCAGTGGGTTCCGGATGATAAGCACCTGCAGGAGGCCCTGGTGGTGACGTCAGCTGCAGCTGTAGCCGCTACAGCCGCTACAGCTGCTACATTTTGTGGTGCACGCACACTACCACCCCTCTTGCCTCTTGCTCCTCAGAGCGTAACGAATTCTGTCAGTGGCACCGCTACAGGCGGCACTGCTACAGCCGGCACTGCTACAGCCGGGGATGGCACAACAGCAGGGAAGAAGAGAGGGGGCACAGCAGCTGCCATACAAGCCGTGGTGGAGCGAGCGAGGGGCAGAGAGGCTGGTGCCACACACTCTGCTACACATGCTGCTGCTGCACCTACTGCTACTGCTACTGCTTCTGCTGTAAATTGTCAGCCAGCAGTGTCAGAACCGCACCTGCTTCTCGGCCATCCTGATTGGCCGATGGCAAATTCCTGCTTCAACCAATCACCACCAGCAGCAGCAGGCGAGCAGTCAGCAGCAGCTAAGGCGGTGAGAGCAGCCAAGACAGAGGTGAAGAGGCTGTTAAAGACGAGGCGGCAGGACCTGGGTCTGTGGGCCGCCTATGCCCGGCTCGAGGCGGAGAGCGGCAACCTGGATGCTGCCAGGAAGGTTCTCGACACTGCACTCGCTTCCGTTGCTGCTCTTCCCAAGGTATGTCCTCTCTGAGGCTAGATCAGCACCGGCTAAAGTATCGCTTACAGCCAAGGCGGAGGTGAAGAGGCTTTTAAAGACGAGGCGGCAGGACCTGGGTCTGTGGGCCGCCTATGCCCGGCTCGAGGCGGAGTGTGGGAACTTAGATGCTTCCAGGAAGGTTCTCGACACGGCACTGGCTTCTGTTGCTGCTCTCCCCAAGGTATGCTCCCTGCTGTTTGTGAGACGCCGTGGATTGCTTCACGTCGAAACCCGCTCTAACTTCTTGTTGACTTGTGAGTCAACTCAAACTGTTGCTGCTCTTCCAAAGGTATGCTCCCTGCTCGTGTGAGGCGCCTTGGAATGCTTCACGTAGGAACCCGTTCTATCTTCTCGCTCATCTTCTTGCCCCCCTCTGCACATGGGGCCTCTGCACATGGGGCCTCTGCACATGGGGCCTCTGCAAATGGGGCCTCTGCATCACAGGCCCCATGCTCCCACCCTTTCAGTCAGCCACAGCACCCACGCCTCTCCTTTTGCTCACATATACCCCCTCCCTTGCACACATCGAGCTATCCCCCTCTTGACTCCTTGCAATCCCCCTGTTCCCCCTGGTCTTTCCTCTCCCCGTCTCCCCCGCTCCCCATCCACCTCTGCTCCCAATTCACCCGTCTTTACCCCTCTCCACCCCTCTCCACCTCTCTCCACCCCTGCTCCTTGCATGCTCCCCACTCCTCAAGTCGGCATCTGAAACCGCACCTCTCCTTTTGCTCACATAAACTGCACATTATGCTATCCCCCTCTTGACTCCTTTCAATCCCCCTGTCCCCCTGCTCTTTCCTCCCCCCTTCTCCCCTGCTCTCGATCCACCTCTTCACCCCTCTCCACCTCTCTCCACCCCTGCTCCTTGCATGCTCCCTACTCCTCAAGTCGGCATCTGAAACTGCGCTTCTCCGTTCGCTCACATATTCACGCACATCAAGCTATCCCCCTCTGACTCCCTGCGATCCCCCCTGTCCCTTGTCATCCCCCCTGTCCCTTGTCATCCCCCCTGTCCCTTGTCATCCCCCCTGTCCCTTGTCATCCCCCCTTCCCCTCTGCCCTTCCATGTCCCCTCCTCCTCTGCTCCTGATCCACCTCTGCATCTTCCCCTTACTCCCTGCCCTCCGCACCTCAAGCCACACCTTTCCCACTCCGTGCACACACCCACATCGACCTATCCCATACTGACTTTTCCCAATCCCTCTCTCCCCCATCTTCCCTGCTTCCCATTCGCCCCTACATCATCCCCATACTCCTTTCAGGCCGCAGCTGAAGCCACGCCTCTCCTTGTGCTCGCATACACCCACATCGAGCTATCGCCAACCAATCACTCCGCCAACCAACACCAGCGTCCCTGGCAGCAGCAAGGGCGGCAGCAGAGCAGAAAGGGGCGTCTGCACTGGTCTATCAACCATCACTGGTCTTCCCTCCACACTCTCGCCTCTTTCGCCGCATCTGCCCCTTTTTCTTCCCCCCCGCCACTCCCTCCGCAACTCGACCCATCTGGGTTGAAAGAGAGCGGGCGAGTTACCAGCCCCTCCTCCTCTTGGGCAGCTTGTGAATATTTTCCTCAAGCTGCCCTAATACGCGCGCGGGCAGGGTTCCACTTGAAGCTGCAAGAAGCAAAGAAAGTCATTGTGGCTTCAGCTGCTGCCACCGCCGCCGCCACTGCTTCAGCAGCTATCCCCACGTCCTCCACCACCCCCCCTTCTGCCCCCCGTGGTGCTGCCTCTACCCTACCTTGGAGCAACGGTGCCATTGGCAGCACTAGCAGCAGTGGCAGCACATGCGCCGGGGGACCCACACAGGAGGAGAGAAACAGGGCAACGGCAGCGGTGGCTGTGGTGCTGTGTGCGAGTCTGTTTGAGCTCCTGGCCGCGCCATCCCTCCCTGAAGGGGTTGCAGCCGCTGCTGCAGTGATGGATGGGTGTACTGCTGCTGTGCTGCCGGGCCGCCGTGCCTGCTGTCTCCCACTAGAGATGCTGTTTGAGAGACATGCCTCGCTGCTGCTGCACGCCCTGCCAGGTACTTCTTCCCTGTCCCCCACCCAACGCCTCCACCCCCCCAACCTCACCGCTCCCCTCTTCTCTCCGCTACTGCTGCAGCTGCAACTGCTGCAATCGTTTTTATTATTATTATTTTCCTTCCCTTCAGCAAGTTGCAGAAAAATGTTTCATTCAACTGCCCATCTTTCCCCTCCTTACTCCCCTCCATCTCCCGCCTCTCTGCCTGATCCCCCTTCCCCCTCCCCCCTTCCCCCTTCCCCCTCCCCCCTCCCCCCATATAGCCATCAGGAATAGCAGGTGCGGAGAGGCGGGTGTGCTTTGCGCAGCCATCTGCCTTCCTTTCTCCCCCCCCTCCTTTCTTTACCCTCACTCTTCCCCCAATTTTCTTCCCCCCTCTCCCCTTCCAGCCATCCCGCCACAGCAGGTGCGGAGAGTGGTGCTGCAGGGTTTGAAGGAGTTCCCCAGCAACACGCACCTCCTGGGAAACTTCCTGCGGCTAGAGTCACGCAGTGCATTCACCAACAGCATCCGGCGCTTCTTCGACCAAACCACCGCCAGGTCAGCAATGCCACTTCAGCAGCCAGGTCAGCTGTGCCACGTCAGCAGCTAGGTCAGCATGCCTGTCTGGTCCGTGCAAGGAACATGAGTATGGTTCTACCTTCGATTGGCCTTCTCAATTCTTGTCCCTGCTCTGGACACTTGTTTTGGCTCATAGGCTATTTTTCGACTCTCATCTCTAACGACCTTGCAGCATTTGAAACCCCTGAACCTTGGGGGTCAGCATTTGAACCTTGGGGGTCAGCATTTGAACCTTGGGGGTCAGCACTTGAACCTTGGGGGTCAGCATTTGAACCTTGGGGGTCTAAAGCATTTGAACCTTGGGGGCCTAAAGCATGCCGACATCCCTCCTACCCTCTCCCTCCTCTCTTGGCTGTCCCACCCCTCACTGCTCCTCTGGTTGATCAGTCTCCTGGTTGAGTCGTTATGTACCCCAAACGTCCAACCCACCACCCACTCGCACCAACTACCCTCTCCCTCCCCTGCAGACTCTCCCACCCCTCACCACTCCTCTGGCTGATCAGTCTCCTGGGTGAGTCGTCATGTACCTCAAAACATCTAACCCACCACATACTCTCACCAACTGTCGTCTCCCACCCCGCCAGGCTGTCCCACCCCTCACCACTCCTCTGGCTGCTCAGTCTCCTGGTTGAGGTGGCACGGCCAGGAGCCCGTCCACGTGTGCGCGGCTTACTGGAGCGGGCGCTCGCCAGCTCAGCGCAGGGGAGTGGGCAATGCGTGCTGATGTGGCGGCTGTACATTGGCTATGAGCTCCACATCAGCCAGAATGCTGATGCTGCGCGGAGAGTTTTCTTCAGAGCCATTCACGCATGCCCCTGGTGAGTCTGGTGGTACTGTTCTTTTTCCGCGTTTGCTCATTACTCGATTTATTTTTTCATGATATATATATATATATACACATATATATACACATATATATACACATATATATATATTGCCTCTGTGCATGTAATTGATGTCAACGGGTGATTGTATTGTTCTTTCGCGGATTTGTTATTTTCTTCTGTTGCAGGTCCAAAGCGTTGTGGTTAGATGCTTTTACGCAGCTGCATGGGGTTATCAAAGGAGAGGAGCTGAACGAGCTTGCCAACATGATGAGGGACAAAGAGTTGCGGCTGCGCACTGATGTCTACGAGATCTTGCTTCAAGACGCTCAATAACACTAGCAAGGCATGCAAATCTTATGTTAATGAAGTTCAATTCTGATCAACAGATATTACATTCGTTTTTTTCGTGTAACATTTTTCATACCGTACCAATTCGTTGTTGACCTACTCGTGATACCATCTCAAGAGTGACACATAGCGGAATTGATTGACTAGCAAGGTGGGTGATACAAATAGCAACCCTAGACAGAGTTGTACCCTCTACAGTGCATCTCGCTACAGCTTATTATGATAATGTATAACATTTGACAGGGGAAATGGGAGTAGCCGAGTGGAAGGGCAAAAGGGAAAAAACAGCAAAGAGCTCATTCAGGAGAGGGCACAGAGGGAAGGGAGGAGACAAGCAGATAGGGATGGGGAAGAGAAAAGCAGAGAGGGATGGGGAGGAGAGGAGAGAGGAAGTGAAGCATTAGGGAGGAAAGGCTGTTTGATATAGCAAGGACCCACATCTGACTCGTTACAGAGCAGTTGCCCGAGGCGTCACTGTATCGAACCGCAACAGCAACAGTAAAACAGTTGGAACCGTATCTCTTCGTATTCCTTGTACTCTTATATAATCTTGTATCTCTCTGCTTTAATCAATCAACTTTGCCCTCACATACTAGCGCAAGGTGGTTCACAACTCTTCATTAAACGCTTCCGCTACTACATCAGTTTTACCCAGAGTTCACCCCTGAAAAGATCCTAAGGGCTATTTTCTCAGCCCAACATGGTATGAGAGCAGGCCCTACGAATTCAGACTTTTTTCTCTGATTTGCACAAACAACTCTGATATTTCAGGATTTTTTTTCCAGTGTACTCTGTTAAAATCAGACTTTTTTGGGCCCAAACTTTGTAATTTTCAGACTTTTTTTAAGGCTAACTCTGAGAGTTCAGAGTTTTCTGAGAGTGTACTCTGATCATTCAGAGTACAAACGCGTCCTTGACTGGTGATTCTGACTTACGGGTCACAACAGATTCGCAATGTCAACGCAAAATCGCCTTGACACAGCAAATCCGAGCCTTACAGCACAAGTTTTTCGCCCAATAATAGCAAAATCACCCTGACACAACAGATTTGCGCTGTCAGAGCACAACAATTTTCGACCAATCACAGAAAACTCTCCCTGACATTGCAGATTCGCTCTTTCGCACCACAAGATTCGCCCTGTCAGAGCATGTTTTATCGGAAATCCCCTTACTGTTGTGTGTTTCGGTAGCAGATGAATGAAACATTGATTACATTCCGATGAAACATTGAATACATTGTTTTTGAATGATCAGACTTTTTTTTTAGGACACTCTGCAATTTCAGCCTTTTTTTTATACCAACTATGAGATTTTCAAACTAAAATTGTGTACTAGTCTGACGAATCAGACAGGCCAAAAACGAATCTGAGGGCCTGTATGAGAGCTATCAGGGGGAATTCAACTATCAAGACACCTACAACATCAGAATACATGGCTACTTAGAAGGAAAGGAGTTCCTCTATTGGTTCTCCCGGCACTACTCCTACTCCACCTCATGCCTCTCGCCTACAGACAGAGGAGGGTACGGCAACAAGACCCAGGGCAACATCCACCGAGACTCCCGCGAATCAACCTGCAGGCTTCGACCAGAGCATGATGGAGAAGTTTTTCTCCTTCATGTCCTTCTACGAGCAACACCAGCGATTGGCACCTGCGCAGTCACACAATAGCAACAACAACAACGACGTGAATCCAACGAGCCTCGATGGTTCATCCTACGCACGTGGAAATCAACAGCAGCAACCTACCTTTGCTCCGTACAAGCCCCAACGCGGCTCCGTCAGCTTTATGCCACAATCGCAGCCTGTACCTGGACAAGAGAAGACACTGGACGCGCTACAAGTTCAGTCACAGTTTGCGCACGTCCTGAAGCTGCAGACGTCAAGACCTTTCAACGAAAAGGACTTCTTTACCTGGTCATTCGAGTTCGAGCTAATGATGGAAGGCGCGCAAATCCTCGGCTTCTTCGACGGATCCCTACCATATCCAACAAACGACACACAGTACGAGAAGCAGCAGTACACCTATCAGTCAATGATGGCGTACACAATCCTACTGAGGAATATCACCCCGACTCAGCAACAGAATATACGGTCTTACCGGGGATACGGCAACTCCGCCGAGCTCGCATACAGCCACTTGAAAATCTTGTATCAAGCAAAAGACAGCGTAAATCAGAGTCGACTAATGGCGCAACTGACAACAGTCAAAATGAAACCAAGGGAAAAGGGGATGGCGTATATCAATCGCTGTCGCGAATCACGCGACAAACTCCTTCGATGCGGAGGGTCGATATCTGAAGACGCCTTCGTGACAGTCATCATCGGCGGCCTCGGTCCTCAATGGCGCGCCACAAAAGCCATTCTCCGAGCTCACGGAAGAATCTCCGAAGCAACACTTTTCTCTGAAATTCATGGCGAGCAACAAGACATGGACCTTTATGAAGAAAGACATAAGAGGAAGATGTGAGCACCGGAATTCGCTTTCCACACTCAGCGACGCTACAACAACAACAACCGACAACAACCAAAGCCTGTACCTCCGTTCTGCCATATTTGCAAGACGTCACGACACCCACGCACACATTGCCCGAATCGAGAACAGTCAAGTCCACCGCAACGGCAGCTTTGACCCTCAAGCAGCCAAGTGGCATCGACGCAGGCGAACCCTACGAATCAGACGCAGCCTTCAACAACACAATCTGCACAAGGAGTAAGAAACATCGTCAGCTGCATGGAAAAACTGACCGACTCCTGCATCACCGAGTCACCGCCGCACTACTCACCGGAAGAACAACTCGACAACATCACACCTCGCGCGAGTCACTTCAACCGAACCCGACGTACGCAGCCATCGCCCAAAGTGAGCCGTCCGGGAAGGACACTTGGTTCTTGGACAGTTGCTGCGGACAGCATATGTGTAAGAGTAGGACGGCTTATGCCAGCTATGCTTGCTTGCCTTACTTTATTATGCTATTTCTAGCATAGGATAATTATATGCATGCATCAATTGCTTGATTTCCTAGGCTAGGTGCTTTCCTATATTTTATTATAGTTATAGCACCGAGCTAGGTTGCGTGCACCGAATTCTGGCTTTTCGGTTGCCACTGAATCGCCTTCTACCGAATTCGGGAAGAATCTGTTCGGGACACTTCGCGACCCGCGGAACCTTCGCGTAACACCTGGTTACGGGGCCTTGTGTCGAGCCTATATATAGCCTTGTGTTGTACCCAGGTGATCATTCAATTCAATTCACATTCTCTTTTTTGAGCTCGATCCTAGATCCTCACACTTGGTTATCAGAGCCCGTTTACACGCGAAGCTTTTTCGACCGTTAAAACCAGTCTTCAAAAACCGCGGGGGCGACGAAGTTAAACATCGATTTCGGGTACGTAAAACCGGTTCCGTGCTTTTTTCGCTCCCCCTCGATTCGGTTTTCGGACGCGCTAATGTCACGCATGGAGGGCCAAGGCGACAACTACGCGACCACGAGCGACATCGCGAGCCTCCGCACCAACAGGAGCAGACGCTGGCGACGCTTCGTCGGCTCAAGGCCAATCTGACACACCAACCAGGGATCGCCACCACAGCAGCGAATGCAGCAGCGACAACACCCGCAGCAGTGGCGACACCAACACTGGCAAACATTATATATATGTTATTGCTGTGTAGGCTATAGTGGGTTAGCCTTTAGGGGGTACACAACTCTAGGGTTTCATACTTGTACTCCAATGTTTCATAGTTCAATCACTTCTTGTTTCTAACATGGTATTAAGAGCTTAGGTTAGACCTAGGAACGCTTACCTAAGGGCCCACTGTTTCCGCTAGAAGCGCCCTCGAGCGCCCTAAAGACGTAGCGCCCTCGAGCGCCTCTCTCCTAGTGCGCCCTTGTGCGCCTCTCCTTCTCCTGTTGCCCGTGCGCAGCTCGCTAGTGCCGCGCGCGTCCTTTTTTTTTAGCGCTCGTAGCCCGCTAGCAGCCCGCGCGCGGCCTTTTCTGAACGCGCGCCGACCACTAGCCGCCCGCGCGACCAGCGCCACCCACGAGCAGCCCCCTAGCCGCCCGTCGACCGCCGCCCAGAGCGTCGCAGCCCCGCCCGTAGGCCGCCGCGTCACCCCTCTAGGCCGCCGTCCGCACGCTAGTCAGGCCCACGCACAGCCGCGGCCTGCCCGCTACGGCCGCCCATGCGCACGCCCCACACCCCCCCCCCCCCCCCCGTCGCGCACCGCCGCGTAGCCCAGTCCGAGCCGAGCCGCGCCGCCTGAACCGAGCCGCGCCGCCCAAACCGAGCCACGCCGCCCGAACCGAGCCGCGCCACCCTCGCCGAGCCGCGCCGGCTTTCTGTGCCTTAACTGCAGCAACTCCGGTTCCTGTTGCTGCCGATCCTACTACTTTAGCTGCTACTGTTACTGCTACTGCTACTTCTCCTACTGTTCCTACTGCTGCTACTGCCGCTGTGGCCACTCCCTCTATTCTCACTTTTGACGCTGAGGGCCGCCCGATTAAGTTTGAAGTTTGGTTGGATGACCTGCACCTGTTCCTCCAGATCACTGCCAAGGACGATGTCTCCCTGTATG